AAAGTTACACAGGTGTATCTTTATTACTGTACTACCGCTATAGCAAAGCCTATCATAGATTTTAGATCTGTATTAGTAGTATTCTAGATATATTCTCTGAGCGCGAACGCGGTGGCGGGAGGGCGCACTTGATTCGGTTGCCATTGAGTTTATTAGAAGAATACCCAGCTACAGTACACGTCAGTTGAGCGCTGTCGCTCTGCGGCACTTGTTATATTTTTGAGGTGAGTTATTTTTTCTTGTCGTATTATTATACGTTAAGTAAAATTTGTTGAGAGCGCTCATTGTGTATTGTCAACCAGGTTTCGCTTCTCTGTGTTCTCCAGTTCTGAGAAGCCTTATACAAACAGCCGAGACATGTCAGTGACGAGAGCAGGCATCCCGTCCCAACCCAAAACGCACACATTGTAGGTATATCTCGCTGGTCGTGATTACGAGTTGTACGCAGTTGTGGGTTATTCAAACAAACCGAACTCTGAACGAAACCGAACCGAGTTGTGTCGCACCCATGAAAAGTGTATGGATGCCGTCATTGCAATTACCGCATGCCAGTCATGCATTTCTGCGTGAAACAATGCTGGTTATCAGCGTTCACTTTAGGTTTACGCAACTACACTTTGAAATTCCAGTAACGATGGCGAAACCACAGGCATGATTTCTGGGCCCGGGTGTGGGGAGCCGCGGTTTGAGTTTTTCTTCTGACCCTGCTTGCTTGTGAGATGACTGCTCTCTAACAATATTAATTGTAGCTACGTCGGAACACGATAAGGTGTGCCGGTGATGCTCCTGTGCATACGTTTAATTTGCAGGTTTAAGTACGAGACTCCGGACCACTGGGAGGTTCAGCACAAGTTTGAAGATGAAGTAAAACTAGTCGAGGTGCGTTGATCGTCATCAGTAGGTTTAATAGGTGTAATCAGCAGCGTATATCTAGCATTAGACTCTTACACGTGTGGTCCAGTGTGCGTGCGAAGCAGTAGAATGTGTGATTCATATAACTCTGATGTAGTGCAGCACACATTGTTCTTAACCGAAAATGCTTTCAGATATACTTGCACATATCTGTGCAATAGTGCACATATATATATATATATATATCAAGAGTACATAATAGAGAAGAGTATGACACGGTTTTAACAGCGTTTTGCATAGTTTTCAACTTGTAAATATCCTATCAATATGTGAATAAATATATTCAAACTTTACCTTGTTTTCGTCTATGA